AAAAAAAAGACCTATTTGTTAGGATAGCTATTATAATTAACTTAATATAATTAATTTTTATCTAGTTTCTTTTCTCTCAGACAGACAAAAGGATTTTGACTTCACATTTCCTCAAGTGTTAACCCATACAATTAAAAAAGTATTTTTGATAACAGTTCCTGTCCCATTAATAGCTCTAACCCATTTTCACAAAGAATATTTAGCCATCTATAAATTTATCACAACCTCTCTGGTATAGACAGAATCAAATACAGTGAAATATAAGTAACAAACTTTATCTTTAATGAAGTGAGAATGAGGATAGAGATTTAAACATTGCTTTGCTTTATCCTTATGCTTGAGAATCTGGAAAGAAGCAAACCTCATGGCATTTTGATGGCACTACTGACTCATTAGTAGATAGGACACCATTCATATTTCATAAGTGTTAAAAATAAATGCATTAGGGATATAAAAAATTTGATATTTGAATTCAAAGAAAGGAAAGATTGCTTCCAGCTTGACTTCTCAAAGCTAGAATTAACATACCCATATATATAATTTATTCCTCATTTATTGTACTTTGAATAGGCTTTTTCTTGATCTTAATTCTGACTAGTAACATGGATAAGAAGAGAGATATTTAAATTGGTCCTTGAAGGATAGACAGGATTAGGATATGAAAAGGGGAAAAAGAGAAGATATTCCAGATAGATGACATATTATTTATATTATAGGAACCAACATCAGCTTAGTTTTGCTAGAACACAAATTTTAAGTGAAGTAGAAATGTTGGAGATAGTAGAGAGTTTTTATTTAAAGACTTCTACAACCTTTTTTAGATTTTTTATTCTTCATTTTCAGAGTCACTCTTCAATCAACTTTCAGTCAAGTCATGGTACACCTAGACAATGATAATATATGTCTAGCAGTGTGGGATAAATGGATGAGGCTGCTCCTCAGATGAGGCTGGTTTCTCTGTTTTTTTTTTTTAAATCTACTCTTAGTTGTATATGAACACAACACCTTTACGTATGTATGTATGTATGTATATATGTATGTATGTATGTATGTGGTGCTGAGGTTTAAACCCAGTATCTCACTAGTGCCAGGCAAACGTTCTACCATTGAGGTATAAATTCAGCCAGAGGCTGGTTTCTTTTGTGGCCTTAATCAGTACCTTACCTTATCAAGGAATTAAGTACTGATAAAGTAATTTTTAAAAAATCCCTGGTATCTGAAAACTGACAGGTAAACCACAGTGTTCCCAACTAAACATAAACAACTTGGAGAATATAAACAATATACAATGTTACCATAGTGGAAGACAAATATTACTATGCAATTATTTCTGAAACTATAGACAAGAACACTCAAGAACCACAAAAATAATGAAATATCCCCCTCTTCTGGCTAACACAGATGACTACTATTTTTAAAATCCACCTCCAAGATAAAAAGACCAAAATAACCCATTTTTCACTTCCCCAAAGTATCCAATTTAGAACTAATCTCTGCTTTCCTTAAACCCTTCTAAGAATCACCCAACGTAAGATGAAATCCTGTCAGTTTCTCCCAACTTCCTGAGATGATCGATAGTTCAGCTGGTATTATATTCTTGTTTGCTGAAGAATGTTAGATAAAGCTAACTTTCTTCAAAGGCAGGTGCATTCTTAGGGGTCTTTGGTTGAAAGGCTTGTTGGCATTATACTCTGTAAGGAGTGCCAAGACTTACTTGTTTGGAAGTTGTGCCCAGAGTCATGGTCTCATTACCTATAACTTAGATGGTATCTGGTTTCTTTGAAGTCAATCCTTCATGCTTCATATATTCCATATACTGTTGCTTAATTAATCCTCATAAAGTTCAACTCTGATTAGATAATTTGCCCACTTATCAACATTAGTTACTTTGCACTGACAAAATTAATTCCACATCCAAGGTCCTGCATAATCTGGAATTCCCTTTATAGCATCAATATTAATCCTACAACCATCAAAACACGTTCAACTGCCATTCTTCAAATGATCCCATGCCTTTTTCTGACTGTATCTTTGATATTACCTCATCTTAGAAGACCCTCACTTTCTTGTCTATCAGAAACTTATCAACTTAACAACTCAAATGGCACCTCTACCACAAATCTATTCTGATCACTTCATCTGAAGTAATTTCTTTCTCCTTTGAGTCCTTGTGGCTTATTATTGTACATTTCACTTACTATATGCTACCTTATATTTATATAGGTAAAGTACACATTAGAGTAAAAAAACATGAGTTCTAATATGAACTTTTATCTGAAAAACAATATAAAACAAGAATTAAAAATAATACCTGTTGGGGCTAGAGTTGTGGCTCAGTGGTAGAGCACTTGCCTAGCATGTGTGAGGCACTGGGTTCAATTCTCAGCACCACATATAAATAAATAAATAAAATAAAAGTCCACCAATATCTTAAAAAAATTAAACAAAATAATACCTGTCACTAGCATAAAAACAGACACAAAATCAATGGTACAGAATAGAAGACACAGACAAACCCACACAGATATTATCTTATCTTTGACAAAGGTGCCCAAAATATAAGTTGTAACAAATTGTGCTGGGAAAACTAAATATCCATATGGAGAAGAATAAAACTCTATCCTATAGCTCATCCTGCACAAAAGTCGATTCAAAATGGATCAAAGACCTAGGAATTGAACCAGAAACTTTGTAAATACTAGAAGAAAACCAAGGGTCAACACTCAACATGTAAGTGTAGACAATAACTTCTTCACTAGGACTCCTAATGCTCAAGAAATTAACTAATGAAATGGTATCAAATTAAAAAGCCTCTGCATAGCAAAGGAAACAAGTGTGAAGAGAATACCTACAGAATGGGAGAAAATCTTTGTTAGCTATTTTTATGTCAGAATTAATATACGGGGGGTTGGCGTTGTAGCTCAGTGGTTGAGCACTAGCCTAGCACGTAAGAGGCACTAGGTTCAATCCTCAGCACCACATAAAAATAAATAAATAAAATTAATATACAGAATATATAAATAACTCAAAAAACAACACCCAAAATAAATAACCCAATTATTAAATGGGCAAATAAACTAAACAGACATTTCTCAAAAGAAAAATTACAAATGGCCAATAAACATGAAGATGTCCACCCTTTTTAGCAATTAGGGAAATACAAATCAAAACTATACTGATAGTTCATCTCATTACAGCTAGAATGGCAGCAATCAATAATACAAATAACAAAGCTCAAATGGATGCTGGGGAAAAGGAATACTTTTATGCTGTTGGTGGGACTGTAAATTAACCATTGTGAAAATCAGTATGAAGATTCCTCAAGACTAGGAATGCAACCAACATATGACCCAGCTATACCCCTCGTTGGTATTTAAAGTCAGCATACTATAGCAATACGTGCAAATCCATGTTTATAGCTACAAAAGTAGCCAAATTATGGAAGCAGCTTAGGTGACCATTAATGGATGAATAAAGAAAATTATATATGTGTATACATGAGATAATTTTATTCACCATAAAGAAGAATGAAATTACGTCATTTGCAGAAAAATGGATGTATCTTGAGAGCCATTATGTTAAGTAAAAAAAGCCAAACTCAAAAAGTCAAGAGTCATATTTTCTTTCATATGTGGAAAGTAGATAGAAAAAAAGGGGAAAAGGCAGTGAAAATAGAAGGAAGACCAACAGAATAGAGGAAGGGGACCACAGGAGGCAGGTTAGGAGATAAAAGGGAGGTATTGAGGAAAAAAATTAATTAAATTATCTTCTTATATTATGTGCAGGTATGAATATGTAGCAACAAATCCCACTATTATGTATAATTACAATGGACTAATAAAAGTCTTAAAAAAAATATCTGGTCTCTCTAATGTCAGAAAGGTAAAAAGAGAAAATAAACTTAAGTATATAAAAGTATTTTTAAATTAAGTGAAAAAATAATATATTAATGTGTGTATCATCTATAATCTTACATTAATTCAAGATTATACAAATAATCATAAAATTAAAACCTCTGATATCTGGGGTTGTGACTCACAGTAAGAAAGCTTGCCCAGCATGTATGAGTCAGTGGGTTTGAGTCTCAGCACCACATAAAAATAAATAAAATAAAGGTATTGTGTTCATCTACAAATAAAAAAATATTAAAAAATAACCCTCTGAATATCATGAAGAAGAGGAACACACTATACATATCACCATGCTATGTGGTAATGAGGTGTTGTCCTAGTCAGGAATGTTGGGCAGAGGATTGAAGAAAGAGTGGGAGTTAAAAAGGCAAAGAAATAGGAGAAAGAGTTTTAGGCAGAGGGCACAGCACATACTAAAGCTCTATGAAAGGAAAAGCATAGCCCACTGGAGAAATCAAAATATTAGTTTGGCTGATGCAAGCAAATAAAAGAGAGTACATGAGACTACTGGTAGAAAAGATAGCTTATGTGTGTAGGGGAACAGCTCTACCATTGGCACCCTAGCAATTGCATGTTTTCACATAGACCATGTTGATAAGGCTCAACTACTGGCAAAATTGCCTACCATCCTCCTTGGAAAATAGGCAGTCTTATGAGGAGCTGTTTCTCATTTGACTCCTTAGCTTGTAGGAGGCTCCCTATCTTGCATGAGGCTGCCATGAAGCAGTTTCTCATCTGCTTTCCTGATTCCAATAAGGCATGAGACTTTCCATTTTTCCCATTTCAGACATAGCTGCAGGATAGAGTTCATACCTCAAAAAAAGCAACCCACCATTCATGTTTGGCCCCTAAAGTCCAATGTCATCCTGTGGGATGAAGGATGTTGAGTAGCTGATACCATGCTGATTGTGCTTTGCTGTTTGTGTAAGTATTAAACTGAGTCTCTTATGTCATTTCCAGCCAACTCTTCAGTAATGAGGCAAGATCATGTATAAGCTGTCATCACATTGTTGCTTAGGCATAGGTTGACCATATGACTGTGTGGAACCCTGTAGGGCATGCTAATGATTTAAATTTTAAGAGGTATAGGAAGTCACTGAAGTGTTTTTAACCAAACAAGAGACATTTTAGATTTGTATTGTGAAAAACATTACTCTATGAAAAGTAATATGGAAAAGAGATTTGAGATAGAACAAAATGGATGCAACAAAACTAGTTAAGAAGCTACTATAGGAGTGTAGGCAAAAAAGAAGTGATGTTAACTCAGTCTATAGTAATGGTAGTAGTAAAACCAAAAAAATAGGCTGATTTGAGAGACATAGAAAGTAAAAATATTTTTAATGAAGAATCAAGTGAAGTGTTTTTCTTTCTTAAGCAGCACACTGCCTCCTCTGAAGTTTTATTGCTTTTTTTTTTAGTTTAGCAATATCTACCTTATATTTTTTAAAGTTTACTCAATATTTCAGGGTTATATAGAAAAATATAAGGAAACACCTTGCCCATTTATTTCCCCTTCACAGATACCTCCTTTCTTGAGCCCTACATCCTCTTCTTAATACAATGGAAGCCTGCCTTATAGCTGTCATCCTGGAACTTCCTTTCATTAAGCTAAATAAGCTGAATTCACTATACCTGAATTCTTTTGACTTTTTCTTTCCTGGTAACTCTCTTGTTTTATTGGTGCTCATCCTGAAGCAACTACCTAAGAATGAATGTATAAGAGTGAAACTTAAGAACCTTTGAATGTACTGAGTTTTTGTTTTACTTTTGCACTTAATTAAGAGTGTGATTGGATATAAAGAGCACAGGATTGAAAATTATTCTTTGGAATTTATGTCCATTATCTTCTAATATCCAATTTGCTCATAAAAGACCTTAGTTTTTTTCTTGGAAACATTTATGATTTTCTGTTTGTCATGATGTTCTGAAATGTTGTAATTATGCCTTATCTTTCATTCACCCTAATTAGTATTAAGTGAGCCTTTTTGAGGTGCAGATTTGTAGCTTATTTTAGATCTAGAAAATTTTCTCAATATTTTTCTTCTAATTCTTATTTTTCTGGAATATTTGTTAGTCAGATAGTAGGCTCCTAGATTGCCTCCTTTGTCTCCTAAATTCACTCTCACCCTTTCTTTTTCTTTCATTTAGTGTTTTTGTTTTTATAATTATAGTTTACTTCCCTGTACTTGCTCTTGTCCTTTTTTCCCCTTAGGAATCCTATTTAATTTTATGGTTGCAATTTAATCTTTAATTTCTCTGAAGTTAATATTTGAAGTTTTATATTGTTTTATTACATTTCTGAATTATTCTGTTGATGTTTCATCCACTTTCTATTTATTTATATTGTTCTATAATTTTCCTCACATATCTGGTCATCCTTGGTTGTTTGCCTATCAGGTATTTCTGTTACATTTTCACTTCAATAAGAGAAAAGTAATTAATGCAGAGGTTAAATAACATGGTCAAGACCATACTCTTAATAATGAGCAAATTTGGCATTCTAATTCCTGTAGTCTTAATTCCAGAGTCTAATCTCTCAACAATTTTGCCTCTCTGGTAATACTAATTGTTTTAGAGCTATTCAAAGGATTCATTTAATATATTTAGAGAAGGAATTTATTATTTTGGGAATGGGAAAATTAAGAAGAAATGCCTTGCAAGTTTTTTTTTCCAATAAGGGATAGAGTTGCTTTGTCTCTTAATCCAAGGACTTCACACACAACTGCATTTTTAAATATCGCCACAAGATGGTGTACAATGACTATGCACAAACATTTGCTGCCCGCGGCAAAAATTGACCCAGGATATGGATGTCTATCAGTTTCTAAGAGCTTCCCAATATTTCAAAGCAGAGTTGGCAAATCTTGTCAGGAATAAGAACTGTATACAAGTCCATTAAGAATGCTAGCACATGAATGTTATCTAAATGTCAAAAAAATTTTTCCCTGTATTTTTGTTAGAAATGGTACTTAGACCTAGGCAGTAGGGCATGCCTATAATTCCCACTACTTATGAGGCTGAAACAGAAGGATCACATGTTCAAGGCCAGCCTGGGAAACTAAGGAAGTAGCTCAGTGATAGAACAGCCCTGGGTTCAATGCCACGTAGTATATAAGTGCTTCTTCACCCATCCTACATTCTGAGAATTATCTGAATTTGTCTTATTAACAAATATGGAGATTGATAATTTAAAAAAATAAGGCTCTCAGAGAATATTAATCTAAACTATACTTTTCAGTATACTTTCAAGATAGCAGATCCTATATTATCACAATGTGAGATGCATAAAGTTTCATAGTTATAACACATGAAATTTTAATTAACATGTTTTTACAGCCCCCAGTTCTAAGTCAAGCAAATTTATTAATGATACTAACTAGAAATGCATTGAATTATATGCTCTGAACTAAATATAAGATACTTTCCAATAATATAGTGGTTCAACTTAATGTTTTTTCAATTTTATGATGGTTGGAAAATGATATGTTTCAGTAGAAACCATACTTCAATTTTTGAATTATTCCAGGGGTAGCACTATGTACACAATATGTATACAATATTCTCTCTTGTGATGCTAGGCAGTGGCAGTGAGCTATAGCTTTATCAGCCACATAATTATGAGGGTAAACAATAGATTGTCTACAGTGTACTATGTCGCTAAGCTACGATGTTCAGTAATTTAGTATTAAGGTGTATTTTTGATTCATGATATGGGCTTATCAGGATATAACCTCATTATCATAAGTCAAAAAGCATCGACATTAGTTTGTATAATTTAATAACATGATCTGACAAGAGATCAGAACAGCTGAAATTTGGATTGTGTTACAACTGTAGTAGGGTAAAACTATGGTCTCTTCTTTGTGTTTGTTACTAAGAAAGAGAATGTAGACAGTGAATATATGTTATGTTTAAAGGTATAAAAATATTTTTTTTATTTGGGAATATATGAATTTTCATGTAAAAACTGAATTGTACATCAGGATTTACGTAAATTCACAAGATTTGGGATGGGTGTATAGATATATATGCAAAAGGTGTATATTTGTGTGAATGTAATAAAACATTACTTGTCTGATAGGGTGCATGATCTGTCTGCTTTCCACAGGATTTTCCTGAGTATAAGGGGAACTTCTGCCTATAAAAAAGGCTCGTGATAGTAGAAAGTATAGCAGACATTCCAGCTTTCACTACAGGTGCAAGTAAGAGAAACAATCAAAGAAAACAATTCAAGCCATTTTAAAGAAATAACTGTTGGTAAGTAGAAAAAAATATGCAAACACAGGAGAGAGCTTGTGAATGGCTGCCTTTTCCTGTGTCTTCATGTAGTCTTCCCTCCATGTGTGTCAGTGTCCTAATTTCCTCTTTCCATAAGGAGACCAGTCATTTTGGATTAGAGTCCCTAATGATTTTAATTTAATTACCTTTTTATAGACCCTCTCTACAAATACAGTCACATTATGAGGACTTCAACATATGAATTCAGCCTACAATACCCAGGAATATGTATTGAAATTTTTTTCTCATACTCCATGAGTTGCCTTTACTCTCTTATTGGTGTATATTGATGAACAGTTCTTAATTTTAACAGTCAAATTTACCAAATGCTTTATAATTAAAACTTTTGTGTGCTATTAAATCTATATATTCCAAGGCCTGAAAAATCTGTTTTTCCTTTAAAAGTTTTATTGTTTCTCTTTTACATTTAAATCAGCAATTTATTTAGAAGTAAGTATTGTTCAGAGTATGAGTTTGGGACCAAGATATGATCTATATTAGTCTATTTTCTGTTGCTTTAACAAAATACTGGAGGCTGGGTACATTAAAAAGAAATTTATTTAGTTCAGTTTTGGAGTATATTGGAGCTCAAAGGAATACAGTGGTTTAGCCTCTGGTTAGGGACCATTTCACTATATCACAATGTAGAGAAGAAGTGAAAGCTACCTGCATAAAGAAGGGGGCAAGCATGTGGAATGGACTCACTTTATAAAAACCTGCTGCTCTTGGAAGAACTCACTTACTCTAGGAGACCAGCATAAATCCTTTCCAAGGGTAGGCATGACCCAATCACCTTCCATTATGCCTCACCTTTTAAAAGTTCTATCTCAAAACCACAAGACTGTAGATCAATCTTTCAGGATATGAATCTCTGGGGAACACATTCAAACCATATCCAGCACAATTTTGTTTTCCAATATGAACATTCAATTAATCTAGTCTCATTTATTGAAAGACTATTTTTTCTCTACTGTGCTTTGTCATAAATCATTGCTTATATAACTATAGGTCTGTTTCTGAATCTTAATCTATTCTATTAGTTAATGTGTCTATCCTTTGCATACATCAAAATCTCTTAGTATCTATTGATTAAGAGGTCCTGATATCTAGTATAGTCTCCCAGATATATCTTTCTTCAAGACTGTCCTGAATATTCTTGTTATTTTGAATTTTCACATGAATCTTATAGTTACCTGTTGTTTCAGAAAAAAAGCAAACAACAATAACAACAAAAAACCCATTGGGGTTTGGGATCGGGATTATATTGAACCTAAAGATTAATTTGAGAACTGACATCTTTTACAACATGAAATCTTTCAGTCCTTGAAATAGCATATCACTTGATTAATTTATGTTTTCCTTAACTTCCTCTTAATAGTAATTTTTAGTTTTCATGTATTGGTCTTGAACATCTTTTATTATAGCATTATTAAGTATATATTTTTGATGTTATTGTAAGTGGTTTTACTTCCCATAGCACCACCCTGGAAACAAGGCCTTTAAGACATGGGCCTTTAGGGGACATTCAAGACCCAAACTTTAGCATGTAGGTTTAACTAGGTAGCTTTTCATAGTTGCTGCTGTGGGAGCACCAGCCTGCTACAAACTACTGTATCCTGTTCCGAAATGAAAGCTCTTTTGTGTTCTCTAAAGAGGAATGAGTTGAGTACTCAGTGGTTCACAGATTATTTGTAAATATACTCTTTCTGCCACTACTCAATGCAGTTTCTACCTATTATAACTACCAATACCATTCAGAGTAAACAACTATTCAGGCACTTTGGTATAAGCTACAGCTTTCATATTCTCTAGTATCTGTTAACAGCTCCCTTTACAGAGTGAAAACAGTGACAATAGAAGCAAGTGAGTGAGGAACAGCTACATGTTTCATAGTCCAATCTACAAAACAAACACTAACTACTGTTAGTACTTGGTGGCATAGATAGTCTACCATGTTGAAGAACTATTCCAAGTGATTTAAAACCCATTAATTTGACTGTATATAAATAGATATATTCTGAGAACAAAAATATCTGTAAAATATTCTTAAATTTTAATAATCACGTTAAGTGGAATAGCTTGGTATTGCTATCCTTTATATTGTTCATTGTGAGTATATTGTGTATGAATGATTGAAAATTAGCAAGATTTTATCATTTTTTGAGTCACTAAAACCATATTTCTCAGCATGATATAAAAGAGATATAGATATTTGAGTTAAGGATAAAGCCTATATTCCTGAATTTAATTTGGACTTGTAAGAATGAATTATACATATGAGTATGATGAATTTTATCTTTTAAAACAAAACAAAACAAAATTACTTATTTCCTAACTCTGCATGGAAAAATCCAAGTGATCACTCAATGGCAAGGAATTCCTCTAGGACACAGACTGTGATGTCAGAAAACTACTATTATTAAAAGAAACCAAGGCTCCTTGGAGAAAAGCATTATTAAAGGGATGAAGCTAGAAATATACAAGCTGAACCTGGAATAGCATATCAGCCTGGACAGAAGGAAGCTGTCAAAACTACCAGGGACTCAGAGGTCAATATCTACCACATGTATGAGACAATTAGTAACTTGAACATTGATTGAGTATTGGATGGCATTAATTTTTATATAATAAAGTAAAGCAGTTATGTTTTTGTGAAAACATCCTTACCATTTACAAATATACAATGAAATATTCACATAGTGAATAATATATCTGTGATTTGCTTTAACATATGAAAGGAAAAACTGAAATGAGGTATAGCTAAAACAATATTAGCCATGAGTTGATCACTATTTTTTTTTTCTTAAAAAGAGAGAGAGAATTTTCTAATATTTATTTATTTATTTTTTAGTTTTCTTCGGACACAACATCTTTGTTTGTATGTGGTGCTAAGGATCGAACCCGGGCCACACGCATGCCAGGTAAGCGTGCTACCGCTTGAGCCATATCCCCAGCCCCAAGTTGATCACTATTTAAGGTAGCTAATGAATACCTGAGAGTTCATTATACATTTCTGTCTACTTTTATGTATGTTGGAAATTCCCATCACAAAAAAATTTAATTTATTTTCATTCTAGTTTGCCTCATCAAATCTGTAGATTCTTGTACATCACTTGCTCTCCCTCTGATAATGGCCATAAGAATAAAGTTGGTATGAGAAAGGGGAAATGTATATAAAAAGACTAATAAAATAGCATGTGTTATAAACATCAAACAATGACAAACATTAACTACAAGAAAACATTTCTACTATATATTACTAAAGTAAATATTATAAGGTCTAAATATCTAGTTCTAGAGTATCCATAATCTGACTAGAGCTATTTACCTTTATTGGGGCCTGCTACAGTAGATCTAGCTGAATATTTAGAATGGGAAATCTCCATTTCTGATTTTCTTTGTATAATTATTTGATTTCCAAACCTCTTGGGTCCTAAGTAAAAGACTGTAAATTTCTGCTGAATATCAAGTCCAACTGAAAAGAAAATAAAGTAAATAAGTGCTCATTTAAGTTATACAAGTCCAGAAATGAGACCATTTATTTCTTTTTATATCTCTTGTATTATTTTAACTATAGAGTCGAGAAGTCCAGGAAATGAAAATATTTCAAAAAGGTTAAAAAATATAACTAATGAAAATTCAAACCTTCATCTTAATAAAAATAAGTCAATATTCCCATAATAATTGAAATTCAACTATCTAGAAAGAAAATGTTTATAAATGAACAAAATATGAATTATATTATCTTGTCCATGTTACCTATTCCATATCTAATACATGAAACTTCCCTTAAAGTTTATTCATATTATTTAAATATATTATTTTTACATAATAGTTTTATTTTTTTCTGTATCAACATAAAGGAAATAATGTTTAAATACTATTGTATTTTTTTACATTTATATCTTCATTAATTTAATTAACATACCAAAATCAGAACTAATTAGATTTATGCTAAGATCTTCAGATATAAGAGCTCTCTTCACATCAATTTTTTTAGTCCAACTTCCAGTTTTGAGCAAAGCAGAATCCCTGAAAATAGTAATGCATAATTTAAATAGTGATCCAAATACTAAATGAAATAGCATTAAATCCTAATGGCTGACTGTCTCTAAGATAGGTACTCTGTAGTAGTAGAGTGAAATTGATTACTAAAAACTACTTTACCCAAATTCTGAGGAGGGAGAATAAAGTATCAGAGAAGTTATGGTGACCATAATTTTCTTAACTATAACTATCTCCAATTTTCATTGATTCATTTGAGGCTCATCTGGAATATATAGCTGCTACCAATAACAAACGAGCTTGTCCCCAAGTCACTACCATATTAAAGTGGCTATACATAGTTATATTTATTTGTAAGAAAAACTTAAATAATATCTCTTTTTTAAAAAGAAATGCCCTTTTTTTTGGGTTGTTGATGGACCTTTATTTTATTCATTTATTTATATGCAGTGCTGAGAATCGAACCCAGTGCCTCACACATGCAAGACAAATGCTCTATCATGAACCTCAGCCCCAGACCTCCAATAATATCTTTAAAATTGTTCTGAAATAGTTTGTATCTAATAATATCACAAACAAACCAGCCACCAATTTTATAATTAAATTTAGTTTAGTCTCAGACAGTCAGGGCTATCATTAGATTTAAGATTCACAGAAAACAAAGATTTGTACAACAACATATTCTAAGTGTATAATGGTTAATTGCAGAGAGCAGTTACCAATGAAAGAATTATCTTATTATTTCTGCAGTCTATTTAGTAACCTTGTATATGACCTTTTGGGAAGGTATCCTTTATACTGTCAACCATTAGGAGATTCCCATCTTAGATTCACTGTCATTCCTGTGCTTACAAATACAGTAACATAATTAGGAGCATAGGTTCTGGAATAGGAATGCTTAGGTTCAAATATAGACTTTGCTATGAACTATATATGACCTTGGCAGAAATTACTATTCTTTTTCTCAATTTACTCCTCTACAAAATGTAGATGATGATAGCTCCTGTCTCATATAAATATTAAACAATTTAATATTTGGAACCATCCAAGTAGTAGCTATATAACTGGAATGAAAATCCTTAACAGTTTGCTATGATATCCTGGAAGAAAATAATAGTTTCTGGAAAAATTATACCATGGCATGCTAGAGAACTAAGCATAGGAAGGGTACCTCCATTTATACATGTGATCTGGTGGCCTGGATCCTACAACTAACCACAGTAGTTTGTTAGATTTTAATCTGGAAATAGAAGATAAATTTTGAGATGAGTAGGAGGAAAACTATCAAAAAAGTAGGAAGGCCATAAATGACTGGAGAAAAGCAGCAAAATAAGAAAGATCTCCTAAAGTTCATATATTTACTTGTTTCAGATTTTACGCTTTGTTCATTTGGATACTAAATATAAAGATCTAAATAGACCTAATGTTAATACTGTCCTTAATAGACAAATTAAAAAACTACCCCATTATTGTCTTAGGAAAATGTAATTAAGTTGATTCCACAGTGATATTATTACTCTATTTTTCAGTAAAAATTTTTTATCTACAGTATATGCTTAGAAATAAAATCAAATAAATGTCATAATTACTTACATAACTCTGTGCTTAAAAACCACTTGATTATCTGCATCACCTATGATTAAGGTAATATAGTGAGAATCTGGCGCTGTTCTTTTATTTTGTAGCTGTTCAAAGTTCCTTAATATAATGGTCACTAATATTTCAGCCACAGTATCACTATATCTTGTAATCTTCAAAAAAGGATAGGCATAAGAAATGTTAAAATATAACATTATTACTCACACTCAGTTCTAAGTCTAGTAATGGAAGCTTTATTCCTGAAAAGAACCAAAATATTTAATAAACAAAATATTTACCTGTTCCACTTCAAGTTCGTATTTTGGCAGATATAACACAGCTTCTTTTATTTGGGTTCCAAAAGGGGGGTGTCTATTTAAAATCTAAACATATTTACATCATTATATTCTTACCACAACACTTGAAACTTTTTTAGTAAAATGTTTTTAGGATAAGGTTTTAGTAATGATAATGAAGTTATAATACTTAGGAATATAAAAAGAAAATAATTCAAAAGAAAAGAAGATATAAAAATTAGGTTCTAAAATTTAAATACAATTAAGGTAACATTAGGAATAAGTAAATACTAAATACCAGTTCAAGTTCCCTTGCATCTGTATCTTCTATTTTTTTAAAGGAGGTCAAACCTGCATTTACCATGGTATTTGACAATGTTATACCTATGGAAAAGTAATCAAAGGATAATTTTAAAATAATCCACTTAAAATGAAATCTATACTTTAATTATTTAATAACATATTAGTAAGAACATTTTTAAAGATAGAACTTTAAAAAAAAGATTCAGTCAAATATCTAACTGCTATGGTTTGGATATGGTTTGAGTGTTCCCTTAAGGTTTGTGTGCTCCATGCTTGATCCTAAGTGTGGCAGTACTGAGTGGTAGAAACTTTGTTTACTATTATTTTATTTTATTATTTTATTTACTATTATTGAAAACAGGTAAAAGTTCAAATACAAATGACTGATATAATTTTCTGGTAATTGAGAATATCCGAGATTGTTACCTTTGTACTTTGGCATTGAGATCACAGCAAAATATTAATCACAGAAGTGAAAGAAACAGCATCATATAGTTAGTTACCTAATTACTAAAAGAAAAGTTTACTCTTGGTATGAAAACAAATTTTAAAATAAGAGTATTTTTATTAGATTTCTTATGTACTATTCAGCTGCTTTCAAAAGGAATCATTTAAGCAGGAGCAAATGAAAACCAGATTTTCAAAGTACAGTACAGTACCTTATTTATGTCTATAAACACATATTTTCCTAAATGGTTTATAAACAGAATAATTTGCTTAATGGTGAAATATGAAATAAATTGCTGACATTACTAACCTGGCTTCCTGTACACAGTACCTACCAATTTTTTCTAGCTGTTTGGATACATGCAGAGAGTCTTCCCATAGTTTGCATCTAAAACATTTAGCTAAAATCAAACTATTCAACAGTACAGCAAACTTCTTTTCCTGAGTAGCCACAAAATCTGACAACCCTGAAAAACATATTTTTTCAATATTAAACCCAGTACTAATTTATTGGAAAAATATTGAAAACCCACTAATCCTGTAACATACATCTTGTAATTCGTGAGCCATTTCTGAAAATCTTTGAGGTGTCTTGTGTCAAAGCAAAATCTTGTATTGGAATACATCCTAATTGAGCCTGTATAAGACTGGAAGAAAGAAGAAATTTCATTATTTTATTTTAAAAGCTAGAATCTCACAGTATTTGACATTATTTTTATTTTTATTTATTTATTTTGGGGTTCTGGGGATTGATCTCAGGGGCACTCAATCATTGAGCCACATCCCCAGCCCTATTTTGTATTTTATTTAGAGACAGGGTTTCACTGAGTTGCTTAGCACCTCACAGTTGCTGAGGCTGGCTTTGAACTTGGAATCCTCCTGCCTAAGTCTTCCAAGCTGCTGGGATTACAGTCATGTGCTACCTCGCCTGGCAGTATTTGACATTATTGACTCAAGTATTTCTTCTTAGAATTATCTATGCTTGATTTCCACGTACTGCATGATTCTGTATCTTGCATTATTATTGTTGCAGGTCATTATTGACTTACTTTCCCCAACCCTTAAATGTTCAGTCCTTATTATTATTTTTTATTTTTTAACTCTTCTACACTCACTCAATATCCCTTTCTCTCAAAAACCTTTTATTTAACAAAGAAGGAACTGATGGAAAAATGTGCATGAGGTGCTTTTAAATACAGATAAGTAAAACTCTTTAAGATGTCTTGGGATACACTAATGTGGGATATATTCATTACATCTGAAGTAAAAATACTTTATTTAATATAAGTATTTCTATTAATAAATAGGACACTTTTCAATATCAAACCTCCCTGTTATTACAAGTAGTAATAAAACAGGAATGGGAGAGAGAACAGGGATTCCACTAGGTATAGAACCAAGACACATGGCTAACTATTGCTTTTCACCAGATAAAGAAAGCCGTGATGTACTGTGATCTTAACTTCCTATGATTGTCCTCACACTCTCAGGTGTGATGGTCCCTCTGCCCCTAACCAGCATAGCAGACATAGCAGAATAATCTTAGTTTACTCTTCCAGTTACTTCTCCTCCATACAAAATCCTCATTTTTAGCAAAAGTTATCCATAGGCATATATGCATGCTTTTACTCAGGTTTTTGCTTTTAGTATTTTTTCTCCCCAAATGCCATTACCATTCAAAAGACATTGATTATATGTATTTTAATGTGCCCATTATTTTAAAAAAATTTAGTTGTATATGGACACAATACATTTATTCTATTTTATTTATTTTTATGTGGTGCTCAGGATCGAACCGAGTACCTCACATATCTAGGCAAGCACTCTAACACTGAGCCACAACCCAGCTCTACCCATTATTTCTATATGCATAGTTTTCATTCAAGCTAAATTGAAAACTCCTGATTATGAGAAGCATATTCTGTTGTCTATCTTGCCTCAACAGAACACATTCTCAACAAATATTTGTTGATTAAAAATATCCACAGTTCATTTTAATTAACACCTCAGAGTTCTTGGAAATTAATTCCATATCTATATTTTGACTACTTACTTTTATTTACATGTTCTTATTAAGAAAAGCAAATTTAAAATGTTTTAAAACTTTAAAAAATTTCATAAATATGAATGTTAAGACATTTAAAAATAATATTATTACCAATTTACTTTCATTTCCCTTGTTTTAATTCTTCCTTCCATTGGAAATCTATAAATAAAGACACAAGGCAAAAATTTTATTATTTGTTTCCACTAAATAAAACCTCTTAAAATTATTTAAAAAATATGTAATTTATGTACCTGATGGTTACCCGATTTGGATCTTTGTTCAAAGTATTCAGTGTTTTCTTTTCATTTATCCTTAACTGCACATCTAGAAATTCATTGCAGCTAGCTATCATTGCAACCTATAAAATTTAAGCATTTGTCAATTTAATTAAGTACACTTTTTTATTTCCTTTCTTTCATCTTCTTTCTCTAAATTTATTTATTTGTTTATGTTGTCTTGGGCCATCATAGTTTTATTAGTTAACAGTTAAAAACCTGCCTTACACATTTTGCTTTTTTAAGGATTTACTTATTTACTACATCTTATGTACTTACATACATCTGTTATATGTTATGATGATGAGGCCTATAATGTTGTTAGACATTAGAACTATACCAATAAAATTGTAAAGATTAACAAGATAAAATTTACAATTCAATGCCCACCACATAGTAGCAGGCACTCAAAAAATGTTGTTTTTGTTACTACTACAATTACTACTATTATCTGCTTTTCTATAGTTTGCAACTCATTATCCCAAGTATTCAGTATTGGAAAGAATGCTTTATATATTAAGAATTTGGATAATATATCCCAGTTCTGCCAGATAATTGGGCAGGAACTCTCGGTGCTTTGTTTTCCCACATCTGCAAAATAAAACTAACTCTAATTTTCCTACATACTTGCTGAACTCAAGATAAAATGAGTTAATATCAATACTGGGTATTTTCCATTCCTGATTTCTTCTTAGTAAGAATAATATATACATGAAAATTTAAATCTTCCAAGGTGATCTTGAAATCTGTACATGTGGAAAAATAAGATTACGTACCCCATTTGAATCAAATGTATGATATGTCAAGATCATTGTAATGTTTTGAGCAACTAATAAAAAAATCAAAAAAAAGAAACAAAAAGAAAATATAAACCTTTCACCTTTTAACATTTTTGTTCATGTGACTCCTTAATAATAGACTTTTATTGTTCAATTTTTAGTATAATCTTATTAGCCAGATATTTAAAATAGAAATGAATGGCTTAAATTTGAGAATAAATATTTTCTTTTGCAAATCCCTTATTTCCTGTTCATATCTTCAGTAAAGGAAGAAAGGACCAATGTAATTATCATACTCCAACAATATACCCATGTTCTGTTAATTCCTACAACTGCAAATTCTCCCCCAATAGTTGATATTTTAGTATTTTTCTCAACAATCACTTTTTCTGGGGTATCACCAGTTTTCCTCTATTTTCACTGTTACTGCTATTCTGATACAAAAGACTTAGTAAGGAACTGCAAGTACAAGGCACCACTGCACCATGTTGCAACTCGTCATCATACATGGCAGACTCACCTAATATGTGATGCTATATTATCTTGGATTCCTGCATATTACATTTGGTAGGCACTACCAAGGTAATCATTATTGACAGGCAAATTGGGTAATTCTTGCATATTACATTTGGTAGGCACTACCAAGGTAATCATCATTGACAGTCACCACACCTACTTTATGTATATATACTTTCTAAGTTCCAATAAGAAATACAATATATTCTAAGGAGGAATATTCCATATCACATGATCAGAGATACACTGAGGCATAAGCATCATTAGAAATGATCATTCATTCTTAAATTATACAAGATATAAATCAGTAGTTTCTTCAATATCATTCTGTACTCTATCATTATATATTTATTTTCTAGTGAAAATTAATTTACCAGATCTGATAAAGATTCTTTTCCACTGATTGTACAAAATTTCTTCACTGTTTCAAATGTAATATAATACCAAGCCATTAGTCTTCCTGCCTCTGTGAGAAAAGATGGAAAAATAAACATATCTCACATTAGCTGAAACACCTTACCTTTTCACCAGTTTAATAAATATTTCCTTAATATCTACTCTGTGTCTACGGTGATACCTGGCACAAAAGATATACCAAAAACTGTACAACGCACATCTCTGGAACTTTTAGGTTGCCTAAGGAGATGATTACATGTTAAGTAGCTAGAGGACAAAATCCAGAGAAATAAAACCAATGAGTTTGGGAAAAGCAAGGATTGTTTATTGAAAGAGTAAAATTAAAAAGACTAGCTTTAGAATACTGTAATGAAAGGTATGGCTTAATAGTGATTA